AGTGAATCCTTACATGAACAATGACATTAGAAGGTTGAGTTATCAAAAGAAAGTAATGACAAATATTGATGAGAGATCCTTCATTTAAGGAAAAACAATGATATATTTTACAAACACTAGTGCTATGAGAAACCAACTTAGTAGATGAACGAAATTTGCTTAATTAAAAAAATATAAAAACTAAAATTACATAATTAAAAATTAGGAGACTAAAAATACAATTAAACTAAAAAATTTCTACAAAATCACTTATTTATTTTACCAAATAAAGTTATTTTTGTTATATAATCTTTTAACTAGTTTAAATATCTTCTTCTACACACTCACGAGCTTCTTAACTATAGAATTAATGATAATAGTGAGATTTTTAAGAAAATTTTATTTTTAGAATATTATTAATTAATTATTAAAAATTCTAATTCTGAATTTTAATAATTTTAATTTTACTATATTAGTAGGTTCTAGAAAATTATTTTAAAATTTGTGTTATAAGTATTTGTAAATTTTTAAATTTGTTATGTGTTAAACTTTAACCTTCTTAATATTACTCAATTATCTTATAATCTTATACACGTGATAAAAAAAATTTAAAAGATACTTAAAATATAGTTTCTTAAAATTGATTAATCTCATAAAATCGTAAACATTCAAACTTAAATTTTTTGCTTATGTATATATAATCATTAATAAAATAATGTTATTAATACATAATAAAATAAATGTGAAGGAATCCAAGCAAACTGTGATCATATTTCCAAATTGCTATGTGAATATCAACGTACCCTAAAAAATATAACAATTTTAACTTTTGAAAATATTGATGAATTGGATTTTTATAGATATATATTTCTTCATATAACCTTATTTGTGTGTTATAATTGAATTAATTTGGATTATTTTTGCTATTTGAATCTTAGATATACCTCAGTTCATTTATTTAGTATTTAGATTATAACTTAGCCTCTAGACCTTATTTTAATGTAATTCTTGGTTTTTAGAAAAGTTAAGAGATATGCCTATAACACTCATAAAGAGAGGCTTAACTCTAACGTTCATAGTCGAAATTAAGCTTAAACTAGAAGAGAAATGAGACAAACATGGATTCTGACAAGAGTGCAATATTTAGGTCATATCACAATCTAAAGATATTTGACTAAAGTCATTTAAGTGGTATTTAAAGGCTAACATCTAAAGGTTTAATCCATCTTGATATCATGAAACCAAATGGATTCAATTTTTATATCGAAACAAAGGAGTAAGTTATGAATTTATTCTAAGAGAATATGTGTTTATTATTTAGGATATCTCTTTTCTTATATTATGATATTTTTCAAATTTGGTGCAATCTAATTATTTAGATTTTGATCAAGATATATGATAAATGTATAAATTGAGTAGTTTTAGGTGATATTTTGGACACTTTTCATACTTAAGTGTTTGAATTTTTTATTCAATTCTCCCTAAACATGAAATTTTTATAATTACTTGTTTATTTAAGAAGAAGAATGAAAAATTAAGTGTTTTGATTCCTTTTTGATATATTTTATAATTTGAATCAAAGAAGAAACATATCACTAAGTTGAAGAAAATTTGAAGACTTAAAGCAAAAATCACGAAGCTTGAAGAAGATATGCCTCTAATGGTCTCTCACTACAACAAGAGACTTTTGCTACAGTAAGAAACTTTCGCTGCAGCGAGGATTCACTTTAGAAAAAGGTGTGTTTCTCGTGCTCTTTTTGCTACAGCGAGAAAACTCTCAATGTAGCAAGAAGCAAAAAGAGAATCCTATTTTAGACACACTCTTTCTCGCTGTAGCGAGAATATTTGCATTGCAATGAAAGGTAAATAGAATAACTTAATTTTGACATTCAGCTCTCGCTATCGCGAGAGTATGGTGCTGTAGCAAAAATAGCTTTGTCCAGACTCATATAAAAGGCAACTTATGCATTTAAGAAAGGGTTACTGTTCAAATAAGAGGCTTTGAGAAAGAGAGAGATGGCAAAGAATATAGGAAAAGAGTGGGAACTCTTAGATTCAAGTTCTACAAGTAATTTTTACTTTTTATTTGATGTATTCTACAAGTAATCAGAGTATGGTGCTGTAGCGAGAATAGCTTTGTCCAGACTCATATAAAAGGCAACTTATGCATTTAAGAAAAGGGTTACTATTCAAATAAGAGGCTTTGAGAAAGAGAGAGATGGCGAAGAATATAGGAAAAGAGTGGGAACTCTTAGATTCAAGTTATACAAGTAATTTTTACTCTTTTATTTGATGTATTCTCGGTGATTCATATATATATATATATATATAGTTATTTCTTCTTCATTTCTATTGATTTGGTGATTTTAATTTGTGTTGAGTGTCTGAATCTGTTTACCTAATAGCTTCTTGAGCTCAGATCTAAGTTATATCTGAAAAAGTATTACTTAGATTCATATATGATTGAAATTACTTAATAACTCATTATTCTAGGAATAGATTTCAAGTTATTGATAACTTTAAATCTTGATTTTATTGCTAGATAATTTGTTAATTGTTTGAAAAATCAACTTTTAAGAAATTATCTGAAAAGCATATTTTCAAACAGTTGGAATATATGGTTTTTGTATTTTGCATCAATATATATATATATATATATATATATATATATATAAATGAAATTCAATCTCAGTTTCTCTAATTTGATTTTAACCATATTTTATATCATTTTCTTAAATTATAGTTGTCATACATTTTCATAAAAATCATTGATCAATCTCTTTGTACATAAGTTCAATTGACTTAGATCTTAACAATTAGTACAATTTGTTAAGCTCCCTGAGGACGATATCTCGGTATTTCACCAATTATTACTTGCAAATGAAATGGTTCACTTGCCATGTGTTAAGAAAAATTACCATTAAGTTTTTGGTGCAATCTAATTTTTTGGATTTTGATCAAGATATATATCATGAGGATCAGAATTACTTGTTAGAAATTTTTTATTTTATATTTCTAATAATATTATTTATAATATTTATATGAATTATTTACATTTATATGAACTTAATATAAGTAATTTAAGTTCAGTGAGTCCTTTAAACAACTAATCAAAATGTAATATGAGTTTAATAAGTGGAAACTGAGTTTGGGTCCGTTAAGAGATAATGAAAACCCTAGTAAGAATAAAATAAAAAAAAGTGTAGTCATGGTCTCGAATACATCAAATCAGATATTTTTTTACTCTCTCCCTAATAAAGAGAAAATATTAGGCCTCATCAAAAGAGATATGTTTGAGAAAAATAATAGTACCAAAGGTTCTTAAAGATCATTTACCAAAGATTATTATTCCGTTAAGTTTATATTATAAAGCTATGTGGATTCAGGTATTCCTAAACCTTCCTTCTCCTCTAAGTAATCTAGCATAATGTATCATTTAGTTTGTATGGAATTCTATTAGAATTAATAGAAATTTTATTTATCTTATATTTTAAATTTTGACTCTATTAAAAGTAGAGAGGGAAAGGGAAAACAAACATATACCCCATACAAATTTAGTTTCCTTTTCTTTTTTGTGTTATTCCCTATTTTTTAAACTTTGAAATTTTGTTCTCTTCCACCTATAAAAAAGTACTTTTCATTATTTAATTTGAAGATCAAGGAAGCGTGACATTTTTTATAATATAATTGTAACGTTTATTTTCAATTTAAGTATTTTCTATCTTCTTTCTAATATATTAAATTTTATAAATTGAAGGTATTCGTTCTAATTCCAAATAAAAAGTGATTGATTCATTACTATTTGTTTGAAGTGTGAGTTAATTTTAAGAAATTAAAGTTAATTAAATAGTGTAAAAAACTAACACCATTTAATTAAATTTTAGATATTTTTAAATATTAATTGATTTTATATAAATATATATGGAAGTTTTTATATAATTACTTGGTTTCAATTAAGTTTTCATTCAAATTCAAATTTTAACTTCTGAATTAGAATATTATTAATTTTTAAATTTGATAATTAAGTGTTATTACTTTATGCATAATCTTTGAATTAAATTTTGAACTAATTAATAATTTTCTCTTTTTCAGATTTATTTTATTAATTTTGTTAAATTTTCATGTTTTAAACTCCAATTTGATAAATTATTTTGGTAATATTTGATAAATGACTTTAATCATTTGTTTTGTACTATAATAATTATATTTTTATTATTTTGATCTACATACAGTTGTGGATCAAATATACACAAAAGTAATTTGACTTTTCAAAAATCATTTTTATTAAAATTAAATTTAAATATTTAATGCAATTAAAATTTATTAAAAATATTTATTATATTAAAAATATAAAAGTATAATAAATATTTGTAATAAAAATTTATTAATTTTAAATATATTTAAATTCAACATTAAAAATTAAATTTAATAAAATATTTTATAATTATATTGTTGTATCATTATGACTATGTCTTAATAATATTTCCTAGCTGTAAAGAAAGATAAAAATTTCCCTTGCCCTGCATATTTTCGAGATATCAATAATAATGATCTGATCTTTTTGTCTTTTGTTTTTTCTAATTTTTGAGAATAAAAGAAAAAACAAATGAAAAAGGGAAGGGAAGAAGAAACCTGTGACATGTGCCCCTCGCTGTTAGTTTAAATTCTAAAGATGAGAATCAATACTTGTTAGAACATACTCGATTAAAAGAAATAAAAAATAAGGTATGGCATTACTTTCCAAATGTCTTATCTGGATAATTTTTTCCAAAAAACGTGCATGAAAACGTCTCCATCGCGCGATACGTGTTATCTTCGGGGAGAAGCCCAGCGCTTGCTGAACTCTGCAGCCGTCCATCGTCTCTGCAGAAAAGTTGCCGACACTAGATGCAAATTTAACGGTGAAGATTTATGCGGGACACGCTGGACGGCTGCAGAGGATCCGAACTAGATCATCTAAATATATTATTTCATAAAATTTGATATTATATGAACATATTTTCATCGGATAAGGTTCCATTATTGTACAGTCTTTGGTTGATGCCATTCTTGTCACACAGAAAATAAATGTTTCACGCTTTAAAGTGATTCATTAATTATATATTGGTTGTTTCAGTGTCAGCGATGAAGCGCTACTTATCAAAACTCGTTCATTGGTCTACTGGCTTCATACCATCAAATTCCTTCCCGGTAAGAACTCTCATTCTCTCTGATTTTGTTTTAGTTTTTTCTATGGTTATGTAGCTGATCAAACTATGTTGTAGTGGATTGAAAATTGGCCTCTTGGGACACACACATTAAGTTACAAACTTGTAAAAATCATTCATTTAGTTGCGCCATTTTAATATCAATGTTTTTTTATAATATGATGATGTGAAGGATTAATTGCTTTGATATCCTTTTGCATGTAGATGGGAATTATTATTTTTTGTCCAGGGATTATTTTACTGTAAGAATATATCTGAGCTAGATCTCATATGTGTTTGTATTAATCTGGGGTATGCTGGTGCTGATATATGTTCACACTCAGTTTCAAAAACAAGCAATCCCTCAGTTCTACCAAGAACATGCAAAAATCAATTATTTAGTTGTACCATTGTAATATCAGTTTTTTATAATATTCTTATTTGAAGGATTAGTTATATTGATACACATTTGCAAGCAGATGAGAATTAATATTTTTTGTTCAGGGATTGTGTGTAAGAATATTAGCTAAATCTGGGGTGTGGTGGCGTTGATCTATGTTCCAATTTTGTTTGTAAAAATGGGGCTACCTAATGACACAAATTTTCTTAAGCTATTGAATTGTGAGATAGGGTCTTACCGTGCTGCCAGAAGCACTAATCGTCAAGCTTTGCTCACTGGCAACTTGAATGAATATGGCACAAGAGCTTTTTCAACGACTTCTTTTGCGTCATTGTCTGAAGATCAGCCAGAGAATAATTCTGTCTCTGATATGTTGGTAGATTCATTTGGAAGGCTGCACACTTACCTGAGAATATCCTTAACAGAGAGGTGCAATTTAAGGTGTAAGTATTGTATGCCAGCAGATGGTGTTGAACTTACTCCTAGCCCTCAGCTTTTAACAAAGGCTGAGATTCTGCGATTGGCAAATCTGTTTATAAGCTCTGGGGTAAACAAAATACGTTTAACCGGTGGGGAGCCAACTGTCAGAAAGGATATCGAAGACATATGCTTGGAGTTGTCATCCGTGAAGGGATTGAGGACATTGTCCATGACTACCAATGGTATTGTCCTAGCAAGAAAACTTCCAAGGCTGAAAGAATGTGGGCTTACTTCTGTGAACATTAGTTTGGACACACTGGTTCCGGCAAAATTTGAGTTGATGACAAGACGCAAAGGGCATGAAAAAGTAATGGATTCAATTAATATTGCCATAGAACTTGGATATAATCCTGTTAAGGTATTTTTTGGTCTTATGTCATTACTTTTTGTAAGTGTTTCTCTTTGATCACTTCCCCATGAGCAGCTACCCTTTTGCTAAATTCATTTATTCAAAATAAATTATATAAGGGAATTTTTCTTGTACAAGGGTGCATAACCTCTGTTAAATTCATATCCCTGATGGAGACATTTTAAGGTGTATTGTATGGTTCTATTGCATTTCAGGTCAACTGTGTTGTAATGCGTGGATTCAATGATGATGAAATCTGTGACTTTGTTGAGTTGACGCGTGAAAAGCCAGTTAATGTTCGGTTTATAGAGTTCATGCCTTTTGATGGAAATGTTTGGAATGTCAAGAAAATTGTACCCTACTCAGAAATGTTGGATACAGTGGTAAGGGAGAATTTAGACTGGAGACCTAACTTTTATCAAGTCACCTTCTCTTATTAAACAGACCTTTTATAACCATCATTACCGAACAGATGAAACAGTTTACCAGCTTAAAGAGAGTTAAGGATCACCCTACAGATACAGCCAAGAATTTTACAATAGATGGGCATGAAGGAAGAGTTTCATTTATCACATCAATGACTGAGCATTTTTGTGCTGGTTGCAATAGATTGCGTCTACTTGCTGATGGAAACTTTAAAGTCTGTTTATTTGGCCCTTCAGAGGTAAGTTATATAGAAACTGTCAAAGTTCAGTAAATTATGTGTGTCATTTATATTTGGTGACAGTAATTGTGCAAGAATCTGTGATGTCTCATATACTTGGAATACATCTGTCTTTTGCGACTTTGTGAGGCTACAGTTATTGATGATAATTGCGGGCTTTCTAAATCCAAATATGTAATGGATTGAATAATTAGGTTATGTGGTGAAGAATCTGACTTTAAGGAATTGTTATTTAAGGACTATAAATATTTTTGGGAAGTAAAATCAGGACTAATGCTGTTAAAAACCTTTTGCTTCCTTACACTTAATTGTTGCCATTGTTGAGTATCATTCTGGGATTTGCTTTTTTTCATTCTGATCATCAAACTTAAAAGTTGCACAATTTAAATTTACTTACTGAAATTTTTTTTAGTATATAATTTTTACTTTTTTATAAATTATTATTTTTACTCTCTCTAAGTGACGTAGTCTATTGGAGTACTCTAAAGTGTCAACTGTTTGTTGGACCATATTAACTAGAGGTACTAGAGCAATAGTTCGTGAAAAAGTAGAGACTATATGCTAACAAAACATTTTATAGGAATTAAGTTCAAATTATACAACTTTTGTAGGGACTAAACATTTAATTATGCTAAACTCAATATTCAATAATTTAACTAAAAATTATAAAGATTGATTATGTTATATATTTAGTTAATAAATAATACAAATTAAGGTTAATTAGCCTTTCAAATTACTAAATACATGTTCAATAATAGCTTAATTGTGACTTTTATCATATCCTAAATCACTGTGAGGTTCAATTCATTGCTTTGGGTAACAAAAAAGAATATGGAGTGGATTATAATGAGACATTTGTACTTGTTGCTAAGATGACTATAGTTCGAACAATTCTTGCTATTGCTACTTGTAAAGGCCGGTCACTTCACCAAACAGATTTGAAAAATGCTTTTCATCATAGTAACTTGATAGAAGATATTTGCATGACACTTCCTTAGTTTTCCTCCTCTACGTGTGCGGGTACAAGCTTAAACATTACTTGTATATCTTGCAATAGGCTCCTTGAGCTTGGCTTGAAAAGTTTCAGTCCACCATTCTTGGGTTCTCTTTTACTTAGAGCTAATATGACTCTTCTTCGTTCATTCATCATACAGAAGCAAGTATTATGCTTCTTCTTATCTATGTTAATGATATAATTTTTATTTGGTTTGATTATGCATTCATTCAACAACTTAAACTTCCATTTCAAACCTCCTTTAATACGAAGGATTTTGGTTATCTTCACTATTTCTTAGGTCTTGCAGTTCATACAGATTCTAAGAGTATGTTTTTTCATCAACACAACTATACTGAAGATTTGATTATTTTGGTTGGTTTTCATTCTACTGCCCCAGTGGATACTCCTTTTGATGTCAATGTTAAATATATCATTGTGATGAGGGTGATCTCCTCCCTGATCCTTTACTATATTGTCAATTAGTGAGTAGTCTTAATTGTTTGACTATTGCATGTCTTGACATCTCATTTGTAATCTGGCAAGTGAGTCAATTCATGAGCACTTGCCACTTTCATTTGGCTGTTGTTCACTGCATTATCTGTTACTTGAAGGATACCTCTCATTGCGGTCTATTCTTTCCTGCTAGCAAACCTCTAACTTTGTTTGGCTATAGTGATGTAGATTGGGTTAGTTGTCTTGATACTTGGAAATCAGTCACTGGTCAGTGCATGCTTCTCAGTCTTGCCTTGATTTCTTGGAAAAGTAAAAAATAATCTTGGCTTTCTAAGTCCTCCATAGAATCTAAGTATTGGGCTTTCTACAGCTTGTTCGTAAGTTCTTTGGCTTTGTGGTCTGGTCTTTTGAATGCGTTTGGCTTTCCTCAAACAGTTGCTACTCCCCTCTGTGCTAAAAATACTAGTGCAATTCAAACTGTTGCCAATCTAATTTTTCATGAGCGTACTAAGCATATTAAGGTGGATTTCCATTCTATTCTATTCATGGGGCCTCTAAAAACCAAGTTATATCTCTTCCTCATATCACTTTGCAACTTTAGCTTGTGGATATCTTTACCAAGGCTGTTCCATGTCCTTCACATCAGTTTCTCAAAAGCAAATTGATGCTTCTTTATCAGCAGCATCAATTTGAAGGGGATGTTAATAAGGGAATCAATTATTATCATTGTTTCTTGTATATATTAGGAATAAAATCAATCTCTAATTATACTTCCCAATTTAGGTTCTACAAAATAGGAATTAGAATCCTTTTGTAACTAAGAGGGGTAAATGACCTTGTACTATATAAAGAGGAAATCAGAATCAAAGAAGGCATCAAGCCATAATTTCTTGACAAAAGAATCATGAAAGGCATTTGATGCATTAATGGTTGCTGATGTTAGATTACCTTTGTTTTGAATTTGAAGTTGGGAGGAAAGTCATGCTTGAAATGTCATGTTTCAATAGTGTGCTTTTCTTTCCCACGAAAATTACAAACCTTGATAGGTGTATACTTAGGACCCTTTCCATTGGAGATTCCTCTTCCTCTACCAGCTGGATTGTTATTTCTACCTCCAAGAAACTAAGAAAGGGCTCCCAATCAAGGTGCATACTTAGGACCCTTTCCATTGGACCTTCCTCTTCCTCTACCAGTTGGATTGTTATTTCTACCTCCAAGAAAGGGCTCCAACTCGAATGTTAAAATCCCCCAAGATTTGAGTAGAGATCTACCTTCTTGCTACAGGACTAAAGAAAAGGCCTTATTCATCAATGTCAAAGGCTTCATAATCAATATTGACTCTTTATAGGATTGTATTGTTCATTGAGGCCCTTACAAAAACATGTTGCATATTTTGCTTCTTTATATTTCTTGATGGCATCTACCAAATCACAGAAGCACTTGATGTTGCAAGAGCAAGAAGGAATGGCCTCCATGAATCTAATTCTTCCCACATGTGTAGTAAGCTGAAATTTCTCCTGTCAGCTTGTCAAATTGAGTGGATATCTTGTAGAAGGTCTGAAATTTTGAAGTAATCACCTTTTGAGAACCTTTCTTGTAGACTATCTCATAGTTCTTGCACATTATCTATCCGCGGAAAAAGGGATCTTGTTATCCAGCATACCACCATTGTATTACATCTTTCACATGCATTGTGTAAAGAATGCTTGTCTCCTGGATCTTTGATGAATTTGGACTTATTCTTGGAACATGTTTCTACTCCAAGGATTCTCACTAGGGTGTAGATCAAATGGACTCCTCAGGTTCTGAGATTCATCAACTTTGCCTGTGTTGGTCAACTTTTCTTATGCAAGCAATTAGCAGCAAACAGCATGGCAGAGATCTCACGAGGAGAGCTCTAATACCATAAAACGAAAGTGTGAGTAGAGAGAAGAAAAAGTGTGGAATTGTAAAATGAGATTGAGTCATTCATACATTGAATTGATTATAAACATGAATTTATGCACATTACAAAAAAGAAATTGTAATACAATGGCTAACTAAAACGATAATAACAAACTATAACAAACTTTATCTTAATTAACTATTATTATCCAATAATTTCGCTTGAGATTCAGCTCACATTTCTTTTTTGGAATGGTGCTAAAGTTAAGCACATCTTATAAAATGTTCCATTGATTGAACGTGATAAGCATTCTATGTACTCATTATAGATATTATACAGACCATTATTATGGTGCTTTATGCATGGATATCGACAGTGACAATAAAAATTAGTCATCAAATACATATAGCTTCTTTCATGTGTAAGCTTCACCAAAAGATTTATGTGATTTTCTTATATGGGCTCTTTGTCTTGCAGATTAGCTTAAGAGATCCCTTGAGACATGGTGCAGAGGATCATGAACTTAGGGAGATAATAGGCGCAGCGGTATGCCCTTCTCTAGTCATTATTGCTTAAATTCATAATTTCATTATATTGAGTTATGATAGGCACCCAAAAATTAACTAGGAAAAAAGGGGAAATGTATCATATTATTTAGTATTAGGTCTGATCAAGACAATCCAGGACCTAAGTGTAACTGTTTTTACAGAGAGGTATGAAGAAGAAAATAAAAGATATATTATCCAGCCTAAGTTCTCTAACTCATCCATCTTTACCAGGATTTATTTTCCTCTTTCATATGACAATATAGCAATAGAATTTCATTCACGTGCTATTTTAATCAACTATGATAGGTAACCTCTAATAGAAAAGGTATACTTTAGGAATAGGAGAGGGATGAAGACACCCCCCCCCCCCACACTAACTGACAAGGAGTTAATCGGACATTTTGTATATAATACAGAGAATGGGTGGAAAAACATTGTCGGGAAAGATTTAGCCTCATTTGGTAGTTGGGAGAAATCAGCGCTTCTCAAATACCCTGAGAAAGTAACTGTTTGTAATTGTATCACCTTCTACCTTTAGACCTCATTAACCAAAGCGTATCCATTGAATAATACAGCCGTTCTATGATTTTCCTTCTGTCTCTAGTCCAGTCCTATCAAGCTATGCGATTACTTTCTAGAAAAGTAGTCAATAGCAAGTCATATACTACCTGAAATTGTATAGCTAACTTTAATTAAACTATTTTATGGGGTCATGTACTATCATATTTTGTATTGTTGCCTTGTCTTGATCTAGGTGAAGAGGAAGAAAGCTTCACATGCCGGTATGTTTGACATAGCAAAGACTGCAAATAGGCCTATGATTCATATTGGTGGATAAGGTCTGATCATCTTTTTCCTTTCTTATAAATTTAACGCATTCAATCTCTTAGATGATATTTTTTCCAATTTTCTGCTACACACAATGATTTGTCTCTATTTCAGGTATCAAGACGTTCATTAATGGTCAATCTCACTCCATATAGGTGCTACGAGTTTGTCCATATGTTGTACTACTTTTGTAAAATGTCTTGTGTCTGTTGATAAACTCCATCAGTTTAACTTATAACAGTATCAGTGAATAGCGTGCCTTTGTATTTATTTCTTTTATGGAAGAAATGAATGGAAGTTTGAGGATGTTGGCTATGCCTGTTACGATGAAGAATGGATTATATTTTGTGCTTTGGATGCTTAGTTTTTCGGCTAGCACGCATCATTGAAGTTGTACCCTGCATGCAGCGAGAAGTGCATTGCACAAAAATTAATGGAACAAACAAAATATAGTTGGATATGTTAGTGCTGCTTTTCAGACTTTACACACAGAAGCCTTCCTAATTGTTAACTATTGCACGAAAATTTAATGCAACAAACAAAAATCCATAGGTCATCAAGTTCTATGGCTGGAATCCCTTCAGACAATTCATAGTAAATACAATGTGTTTGTCATTTAGGTCCTTTCTAACATATCAAAACCTTCATGAAGGATGCAAGAATTATGTAAATTTTGAGAGAAGACAACAGAGGTATTAATTAATATAAATTAATACGGTTCATATGAGAATATTGCATTGCATGATCGAAGGAGTGGTATTTCATGAAAGATAAGATCAACAATTCTTGTGTTAAAGAGGAAGTTGGAGTATTATTTATTAAGATAGATATAGTAGAATGTTTTGAGCATTTGAAAACAAGATATATAAAATATTAGCAAAAGAAGGTAGAAGTAGAGGTAAACCAAGAAAGACAAATGAAATCATTAAAAAGGATGTAAATTAAATTAGACAAAAACATACTAGCGTTGTTTAATTGATGTAGCTGACTTTACTTGTTTATAGGTTTTGATTGTTCTTATACATTTCGTACACAAAACATTAAAAGAAAAAAGGTACATTTTGCATAACCGGTTTATCTTGTGACTTATAAGATCTGGGGGTGGAGTATTTTGCTAAAGCTTGAAACCTGCAGTAGTTGATCCCACTGGGCTATGTAGTTTGTCCCCTTGTTGAATTTTATACAAAAACCAATCTAGGTGCTGAGTTTTTGCCATCCAAAGTCAACACCGTCATCATCTTGAAATAAAAGAAGAGCAAGCATACAAGTCAAAGCCACTTTTGCTTCCCAAAATCAACGCTGACATTACCTTGATAAAGAAAGCTGCAAAAGCCGATGTGTTAGTGGTATCCCATTCATTCCTGAGTAGCAGTTAGATTATGAGTTGAAACTAAAGCTGCTTACTTGTTCTATTGAAGTAAATAATAGCAGATTTATAAGATGGATATTTGTATATTGTATATACTGTATTTTTTCAAAAACAAAACACACTTTCTTAACATATTTTTTATTATTTGTTAAAATTTACTGAAAAATACAAAATTATGAGTGAGCTTTGATAGGTTAAGAGAAGACTTACAAAAATTTGTGATTCTTATAAAATTTTAGCTAATAATAAAAAACTATATTAAAAATGTTTTAAAAAATACGCTTGTAATAAAAAAAATAAAACATTTTTAACACATTTTTTACTATTAATTAAAGTTAATTAAAAATTATAAGATTAAGTGCGAGACTTATTAAATTAGAAATGAAACAAACATAATTTTTATGATTTTTAATAAATTTCAACAAAGAATAAAAAATATATAAAAATATGTGTTATATAATATTTTTCTAACATTTTTCATTTTAAAAAGGCCAAACCAAAGTATTTTTCTTAAGAATTGATCACTTTTTAAATGTTTTAATTTTTTAAAACATAAATCAATCACATGAAATATGTTAAATAATGCATTAAAAATTATATATATTACTGACATTTCTGTTAATTATTTAAGTGAATATTTCTCTATTCTTGTTTCTAGAAACACATTTAGATTATAAACTTAATTTAACATCATCATTAATTTATTGAGAAGTGATATTAAACTAAAGTGATTTGTATAGTAAGGATAGAAGGTACATTTGAACCTGTAATTATGCAAAAACATCATTTTGGTATGCAAATGTTTATGAAGTGTGACATTGCATGTGCAGTTGTATTACAAAGCATTGCTCCTAGTAATTTAAGGAATGCAACGTTTTTAAACCCCTTCAAGAATTTCATTACTGGAAAAAAAAGGTTCCTAGAGTTATTTATTGCTTTTAGTTGATAGTATGCAGATAATGTTGCGTATTATATCCTCTCCTTCTCAAGTTATAGACAAATGAAAGTAAAACCACTGCAAATTTCTTTATAAGTGTACAAACAACTCGTGAATACGAATATACGACAATGATTGCATGAACAATTTTAGACTAGGACTCTAGGAGTTGTTTAGGAAGATAATTTTAGAGGAAGGAAGGGCGGATAAATTTTTATTTTTAAATTAGCAAAATTATAAATTATTTATGATCATAAATGAATAATTAATATATTATGATGTTAACTTATTATTTGATATTTTTAATTTTGAAAATTTATTAAATTAAAATATATTTATTTGAAATAAAAAAATTTCTCTTCTTTTCTCTCTTTCTAAAATCTCCCTTCCAAAGAACTCCTTAAATGCTAATCGTGTTTTAGAGAGCATAACTTAATAGATAGAATAAGGTTTGGATTATTGAATCTCATCTTAACATTTGAGACGAAGATAAAGAATTCCAAATGGGGGCTTCTTAGTGTTCATTATCCCACATGTATTCATTCTATAACAGTCAAAACAAAATTATTTTCACCAATTCCCTTTTCATCCCTAATAACTATATAAGCATGCTCTATTTGATATAACTAAATTTACTGTCTATAATAATATTCCTTTCACTTTCAAAGCTGTGATGCTGTTTATCTCTAAAGCTCATCACTCTTGAAAGTCTTCATAAAGATAAACAATTGTATCAGGTCTATGTTATTACTATATGTGTGACAAGGATAGTGTTGTTGATTGCTCAAATGTTGTCAAAGATTGGATAGAATTAAATATTTGTTCTCAAAACGGAGTGAATTGATCTTTGAATGGTTAGCCTATTAAATATCCCTTCTTCTCCTCAGGGAGTGATGAGAAAAAGGAAAAGAAAAAAAAAAAAAAAAACAGCCAGGAGAAAAAGAATAGCTAAGCTAGTATCATGAAATCTTAGAGAGTAATCACTAACAAGAGATGCAACACGACCACTATCATACACATAACAAAGTATTAAGGCCTGTAATATATTCATAAATGCTCACTATAATCCTTCAGCATAGAAAGAGCCATTAAAATCAGTACACAAGGTTTTTGTATCTGAAGCAAGGTAATTGGCAATACTCAATCAACATGGAGAAGCACCAGTTTTTCAGTGGCTAATTTTTATGATGAATATCCACATATCAAGGAGACAAACAAATAACAACCCATCAAAAACAGACCTTAATTTTGATCAACTACAGGCATAGTACTTAACTCTTCCATAAAACCATCCAATTCTGTGAACCCATCAAGGAAACCACTAAACTTCTCTTTTGACTTTGATCTCCACATATCATCTTCAACTGCTTCCTCGTTATGTGCATTCTTTACCCTTATCTCGTTTTGCATACTCAAAAACTCTTCATCTTCTTGCATGATCATGGCCTTCTTGGTGTGTAAATCTATTATTGGATCTTTGGTCAGTGCAGTTTTGGATTTGTTTCTTCCTCCCCCTCCATCATCTGGCTTTCCTGTGAGTCTTTGAACTAGCTCTCTAAAATTTTCAGCATCAATTTTAATGATTTCTGGAGCATATATATGAATTATCCTGATCTTAGGCTTGAATTTTGAGATCACATGTGAACCTCTATCAACTCCTAGCTTTGAAGATGCTGAGCTTGGATAACATGTATGTAACTTTGTCATCTCTTCTTAAGTAGAAAGTGACCCGAAGGTGGTTGATTCTGAATGTTGAGAGAAGGGTATATTGAAACTGATGATTACATAGAAAAAAAAATTGGAACTATATCGATGCAAGAAAACAAGGTGCTGATTCTGAAGTTTACATGAAGCTGTCTTTAGGAATTAGGATTAGATATACATCTCACCAAATTTTAAGTCAATAAAATAATACAACGAGAAAGACATGAATGTGTCCTTCCTACTCACATATGTAATTTACTTTTCGTTATTTAGTGTTTATGTGAATTGACTGTTTTAAAAAAAGAAATCAGTCACGTCCAAAGTTCATATGGCCCAACTTGTTACATTCAATTTGATCGTATTTTGCCACATGTTAAATTAATGATTAGACCAAATTCCTTTGTTTGTCATTTATCAACTAGGGGCAATGTGTAATTTGCAGCTAGCTATAACCCATTTAATAATGGTATCTATTATTTTATATCTCTATTAATTTAGCATTCGCAGAATATTAATTGAGAATCACATCAGATTTTTAGAAAGATGAGGTCAAAGATCATATATCCTAACCCTTTGGAAAAGACTAGGAAAAATGCTTCAATCAAATAATAGTTTCACAGCGTATTTTTCTGTATGGTAAGCTTTGAACTTTCAATTTAGCTTCTAAATGAGAAGCTAAATTTGTTACATTTCTATTAGCTGTTAGTGTGACGATGAAAACACCAATCTAACATTGAATAGGGGTTGTTGATCTCTCAAAAACAAACCAAATTTTGTTATTCATGTTCAGTCAACCCGACAAGCGTAGTGGGACATGAACTGACACAAATGTTATCAGTGAATACTGAATGATACTTTTACAATTATAGAAATTCTCTTTCCAGACCAATATTATTAACATGTTATTTGTGAACGATAATTATTAGTCATTGTCGTGAGTCCATCATCGTTAAATTGCTGCATAACATTTTCAAGTTTAGTATTGATCAGTAAGTCCCTTACTAAATATTTAGTATTCATAATATTTTCGATTTTTATTATTCCATTATAAATTAAAATCTTAAGAGTAATCAATGCTACAGTTGAGTTTGTAAATATAAAATTTTTATTAAAATTTGTGATGAAATTTTTCTAAAATCACGAGTAGATGTATAAATAACATTTCATAAATGATTTTTTATATTTGATTCTTTAATCAGCATCTTAAGAATACTTATTAACATTCTTGTGTAAATTATAATTCACCAATCATTCTCTAATAAAAATACACAGCTAACCAAAAATAGGAAAAGGGCATTTACCGTCTATGATCTATCTCTGACAAAGTGAAGATCATGAATGTGATAGCTGAGGAATAGCATACAAAAATGTGTAGGAAGTATGAGATCAGTGCAAAAGGGGTACACAAAAATTAGCCTACATAGCACATTGTGTTGTGTTATGAAGATCAGCGAAGCACACGAGAGTGTTATGTGTCCCAATTGGTAAATATTCTTTCACGTGAGGGGAATGGTGGTCCTTCCTGCGAGAGAAAATTTTGTATACTATGGTCTTAACTAATGAACAAGCAACATGTATGCATTTTTGACATATTTCTAAATTTGAGTGGCTAAGACCATTGGATCACACTATTTTTTTCTCTTGCCGCCATGCATTTTCCTAATTAAAAAATTTGTAAGTTTCGGTTAACAAGTACAATGCACCAGGGTTTTTGCTCTTGGAATCATTGAGCTCAATGAAACGAGTTAAAAGAGGTACTAATGTTATCACAAGAGGTCAGGATAGTAAGAGAGAAAAAAGACATATTTTGAGGTACTTACAAATTTTGAGTTCTTTCTAGTTACTAGATAGATGGACGTAGTAAAAGATAAAGCTACATGTATTTGAGGGTTTCACAAAAATTATGTCTCACAAAATATGCCCTTTTTTTTTCTTAGTGCACCATCTAGCAACTAAATAATAATTTTGTCCAAGAGGGGTGTGGTAAAAGTGGATGATTGTGGGAGTATTTATGTGTAATTTGTAAGATACTTTATTTGTATAAATATCATAACATTATTTTGAGAATAAGTTGTACTGGTATATTTATAGATGAAATTGAGTGAAATAAAATGAAATAATTGTTTGATTTATTTAAAATGTGATACAATGAAATGGATTTAATATAATGAAATATTATTTATTTTACTTTTTTCTTTTACTTTGACCTACAGTTAAATATTGTGTATTTGACTTTTCTTATGGACAAAATACACTATCATATTATAACGCTTACTTTTCAAAATACGAGATTCTTATATAATAACAAAATAATATATACAAAATTATTATAAATTATAAATTACTACAACACAACTAAATTATCATAATAATTAAAAATATATAATAGAATTTTAATTTACATTCCTTAGTATAATAATTATAATTATAACAAACAATTTAATTTAGTTTACAATATAATAATTAACATTTACACATCTTTCTAAATAATAATTACACAATTAATAATACATTAAATTAAATATAAAAATAGTTAACTATAATTTAACTATATATCTTTAAATATTTGATTTACCTATGTGTTAAGCTTACTTATAATATGATAAACAAAATTAAGCTGATAGATATTATTATCAATTTTTGTCCGCTGTATATGTTTTCTCTAATCTCACTTTCTCTAGTTTCGCTCTCTATGGTGGCAAGAGGCTGTTGTCTATGGTGGTAAGAGGTAGAATGATATATATGAAGTAGTCGATTATACTCATCCTCAGAATCACACTAAAATCAATTTTAATTAACTTCCTTTTAACATGCAAGTCGATTATAATCGACTTCTAAGAACAAAAAATTAGCAAATGGAAGTCAAATTGAATCGACTTCTTAGGAGGCTAAAAGTCGACTGTAATCGTCTTCCTCGCAGCAAGAAAGTCAACTGTAATTGACTTCTGTTGGCAAAAATAGGAGTCAGTTTCAATCGACTTCTACAATGGAGTTTGGATAGGTAAGTCATTTTTAATCAATTTTAATATATCAGATTTAGGACATTTATATATATAAAAAAAATATTTTGAAGACATGCGTAATTTTAGTTTTGAAATATTTATTTATGTAAAAAAGTCATAAATACTTATTAAAAAATTCATCAAAACTTTACTTTAATAAACTTATGTTTGCATCACATGTTGTGGACTATAACATGTATATTTCCTTGACAATGGTACGTGAAACTTTAGGTTTTCTCGAGTTCCAAGATCTCATTTCTTTCTTTTAAGAAAAGAGGGCCTGGAGCTGCGGATAGGGTTTCTTACCCTAGCTTTTGAGAGCAACGGTGACCTGATCGATGTGCTAGGAAAGTTTCTTCAACGCACTAAGGTTGAAATCCAAACTTCGTATCCATGGCTCCAGTGGAGGCAGAAGGCATTGAGTGACTCGAGCTTTAGAAGAGATCCACAGAGGAGAACGACTTGCTAGATCGAAGCACTAAGAAAGTCAAAACGGGTGAAGAAACTCTAATGGAGGTGCAGATCGTTAACCCGCATGAGGAGATGAAGCCTATTGAGCCGTCAGCAATGCAGGATTTTGTTAAAATTGTTTAGGATGATTTAAACATTGTTCCTGAGGTTGATGATTATGATGAAATTTCTGATAAACCCCAAAACCTGTGTCTTATTCTAAAGATTCCCATTGATGATTATGATGAGTGGTGTTCCCCTGAAAGTTTACGCTCATAGTTAAAGTCTTAGGTAAATCAATTAGTTTTAATTTCTTGAACTAGAAACTAGGTGTTATTTGGAGGAAAAATGACTCGCTAAAAATCCTAGACTTAAGCAATGACTTCTTCCTTGTTAAGTTTGAAAATATGGAGGATTATAGATATGCTCTTTTTGAAGGGTCATGGCTAATTCTAAATCATTATTTGCTAGTTTAGAGGTGGCAACCTCGTTTTAGGCCTATGGATCATAACCTTAAAAAGATCATTGTTTGGGTGAGGATTCCTAATTTGCCTTTAGAACTCTACAATAATAAATTCTTGTGGCAAATTGGTTCTTGCCTAGGGTCGATGCTAAAAGTTGATCTCCACATCTCTCTATTATCTAAGGGCAAGTTTGTTAGAATTTGCATTGAAATAGATCTCAAGAAACAACTGGGTCCAGCTCTTAAAGTCTTAGATCATGAGTTTAGGGTTGAGTATGAGGTACTCCATCTTATTAGCTTTAATTGTGGGAGGTATGGGCATAAACAAGAGCAATGTGTTGATTCAATTGTTCATAATCCTTTAGTTCATAATCCTAAGGATAACCCCAATATTGATGCAGGAATACAGCGAGAAAGTATCAATAATAACCATATACAGGGTAAGGAGTCAGTAATGTCTGATGATAATAATAAGTCCACCTAAGATAAGCACCAATTTAGGCCCTGGATGCTAACAAAAAATCCCCTAAGGAAGAAATCTAGTTACTCCCTTTTGGCTGACAACTCTTTGAGTATGAGTAAAAAGAAAGATGTACTACTAGGTTTAAGATTTGATGTTTTTGATAACTCTACTAAGGATTTGAGTACTAATCTTGAATCTAAAAACATAGTTCAAAAAGACTCTCCACACCTTAAGGTCGTTTCCCCTAAGGGCCCTGTGAATCATAGATTAACCCCTAAGGTCTCTAGTAGCCCCAAAAAAAGTGACCCTATCAAAAGTAATAACAGAAGCAACTCGATGAATGATAGAAGTGGTCTCCACCAAAGTTCTAAATCTATTACCCGTCCCTGCAAGAAAACTGACAATCATAAGAGACCTGAAAATCAGGATAGTAAAGAAATATTTTTCCTAATGAAGAATTTTGAAAAAGCCATTCAGAATAAGGCAAAAGTACGTCACTCTATCCAAGACCTCTTACGTATGAAGTCTGATCTCTTATGGCTAAATCAGGGTATTCAGGACTATAGCCCTATTGATAGGCCCCCTAATCGAGTCCCTTCCATAGAGTTAGATAAACACCATTTAG